CATTATATTTCCACGTGTTGCGTCCGTGAGCCCGCCAGGCCGGTCCAGGGACAAAAGTTCCTTTTTTTTTTCTTTTTTTTATTTATTTTATCTTTATTTTTATATATATATATAATATGTCTCTCTAACACTTGCTTTTTTTTTATATCTTTCCATTTCTGTTTCACCTCTTTTTTTTACCACTTTTTGTTATTTCTTAAATCTTCTCTTTAAGCACAAGGGACCGTCGAATCTTGGCCGCGCCGTCGGAATTGTGATCGTTTTTTTTTTTTTCACCCTTTTAATTATTATTATTTTTTTCTTTAATATGTATTATATATTTATGATATTTATATATATGCGTGTATGTTTATACATATTATAGAGTCTAAAGTAGCTCAGAGAGGGAACTATGCGAACCACTAACGCGAAGTTGTGCACAGCGTGGCTGGCTGATCATCGTATCGATGATCTATTCTTTTTTTTTAGTTCATCGTTTTCTTTTTTTTCTTTTCGCTTCCAATTATATATTATTCACTTTATTCTATCTTGATTCGTTACTTCTTTTTTTGTTTTTTTATTTATTTCTCTCGATGATCTGTAACAAAAATTGAAATGACTCGATTCGATTTGACATCGATGCGATTCCCAGCCATGCTCCATACCATGACACGACTTCGTCGACACGACGCTATTTCGTTCGGGTAAATTCTTCACTTTTTTTTTTTTTTTTTTGCACCGTTTGCGTTTATTTAAATGTATAATCGGTTTGCTATGACGCGAGCGACGGCCCGACCAACATTCCCCCGTACATCGCCAGTCCCCCCGTAATATAGATATATGTATATATTGTATAAGTCGTCCGTGGACCGTACTGGCAGGGCCCTTAATTAACCACTTTTTTTTTTTGCTTTATTTTAATTAATACAATATATATACTTCTTTATATGTGTATCATCATAACAACCGATATTTCTCAGTTCTCTCTCTCGTTAATTTTATTATCACGCAGCTATCTAACTCTCTCTCATTCGATCCTCTCTCCTCCTATATTTTTTGCGTTTCTCCATTTATTTTCTTTTTTTTTTCCCTGTCATATCGTGTTTTTGTCACTCTCTTTCTCACTCCCATTCGCGCTTCTCGTCTCTCTCACACACACGCAATCGTATCACGCGTTTTCTCTCTCAAGCTTCATCACACTTTCTCTCTCTCTCTCTCTATATATATATATATATAATATATTTTATATCTGTATATATATATGTATATATATATTGTATGTATATTTATATATATATATATATATATAAACATATATATATACTTCTATATATCTTTCATATATATACTTTATGTTGCTTTTTTATGTATACTTTATATATAACAATGTTATGTTTATTTAAGGCCCAATACGTTCTTTACGAAGGAAATAATCTGCAACAGAAAGGAGACGAATATACGGTTAAACGCTTGTACCTCTTTTGCTCCCTGTCGTAAGCACCGCGAGTATAGAATTATTCAGTCGATAGAGATGAGTCCGAGTGTTTTTTTTTTTCTTTTCTTTTTATTTCGTGAGTGTTTCTTTTCTCTCTCTTTCTCTCTCTCTCTCTTTCTCTCTTTTTCTGCGTATTTTATCATTCAAAGTTTATTCTTTTCCCATCCTCTCTCTCTCTGTCTCTCTCTCTCGACGTCACTCTCTGACGCGACGATTCGTATCGACGAGGCTAAAAGAACGCAAGTAGATGTGTCTCGATATGATCAGACCGAGCGAAACGAATCTTTCCTTAATATTTATTAAATGATTAATATTCTTCGTCCAAATCGAATCAATTGTAATAAAACTATGGAATATCGTTTCATTGTTCATTATTTGAGAAAAAAAAATATTTCTTTTGGACAAAGGTATAATTTAACAATCGAATTTTTTCCTCGAAGATATATCATCGATGCGTTTTAATTTTTATTCATCGTAATTCACTTTGGACGAAGAAACGATCCAATTTTCTTTTTTAAATTTTTTAAATCATTGCAAAATTAATTAATTCACAAGGCTTACATTAAATTTGACTATCAAATATGTAAAATCGATTTTTCTCGATGAATAATTTATTTTTATCTGTAAAAATTATTGCCAAAATTCGTGTCTGGCTATCATCTATCATCGTTCTGATTGCCTCGCTTTTCTTTCACGCTGTTCCTCCTACGATCCTAAGTTCGTTTTTTGCACGCCATCATATCTCAACGCTCCCTAGGAAGGATCGCTGTAGATCAGAAGAAACAAGTAACTTTCGCACAAAAGTTGAAAAAAAAAATATATCTGAAACTTCTTCTGTGATCTACTTAACGCGTATCATATCAATAATGATAAAGCCTACCAGGTTTTCAGAAACCCTTCTCATAACATTTTGATAAAACAAATTAAACACACGATAGATAATTTCGAATTAATTTATACAATATGTACAAGCGCAAAGATTTAGTTTACAATTACATACATGCATCAGAATTCAAAATTGATTTTGGAATGAGCCTGAATAAGAAAAGTTATTAAAATGTTGAATTAATTTTTGAATAAATTGGAAGTTATCAAATTTTGTCTCGCAATAATTGAAACAATAAGTTTTTGATTTCTTTTTTTGTTTTTTAAATGTAAGTTAAGTAACTACGATACTTTAAAAAGTGATGTATCGTAACTTCCAATTGTCTTTATTTTCTTAAAAATTTAATTCAACATCCGGGGTAACTTTCCTCGTGAAATGAAGGATAATTAAATTATCCTCGAATAGCGAATAACAAGAACATCCTTATATTTACTAATTACAGATTTTCACAGGTTAGAAAAAGCACATCACGTAACGAATAAATCGCTTATAATACTTTATTATTTCTTACAAAAATTGTCCTTCGTTGGGACGTTTAAACGTGTGTATAATTCAAAATTTCTTTTTCTTTACACAATAATGTATCGATTTAATATAATAACAATTAAGGGGAGAACAAAAAAAAAGAAACATAAAAAGGAAAAAAAGTATCGTACGTTTTTGAGAATAAATTAGTTAACATCGATGTTGTTATTTCGAGAAGAACCCATAACACGTGATCGAAAGTAGAAAAACCCAGTAGACTCTATTTTATTCGTACTTTCTATTCATTCATTTCCCTTTCGTGAATTTTCTAGTTTTCTTTCAGAAACACCAAGATCTTTGCGGAAGAAATAAAAAAAAAAAAAAGAAAATGAGATGAAAAAAAGAACGAAAGAAGGAAGATCTTAACATGAATTATCCTACGAAGGTATTGTGCACGATTTGTAAGAAAGAAAGAAAGAAAGAAAGAAAGAAAAGAAAGCGAAGATTTTTAAAAAGAGAAACGGGGAAGGGGGAGAGAAAAATGATAAAATAAAAAAGATATTAATAATCGCAATAAAAATAATAATAATAATAATAACAG